CAGGAATATGCTGGTCACCGAGGTTTTTTGGGACTCCCTGTAGTGGTAGGGAGGAGCAGCCCAGTATCGTGACCTTCAGCCTGAGGATCACCCTGTCCTTTGATGACCTTGACCCTGGTAAACTGGGTCTAGGCTGCAGAAAAAACTTTCAGAAAAAGCCAGGATGAAGCAAAGGTTGTGAGCTTATTAATCCTGTGGATAGAAGCTCACACAGAATAAGGATGGCTCATGCATGACGGCCTGAGTGAGGACTAGAGAGAGACACTTGAGATTAGGTGTCAGTACAAAGGGTGTGTGAGGAGGGCAGAAGAGTGAGAAATGTGAAGATTTTTATGGCTCTCAGAGTTACATTGTTTTAAAATTACATGTAAGAATACTTTGAGTCTTTAAATAGGTTCTGTTTTCCCATTAGGAAAAATATACAATATGTTATTAAAAAGTCAAAAATAAAAAAATAATCTTTTGAAATGTTCTTATCGCTTTTAAAATTTCTTTTAGTAAATTAAATTTAAGGTTAATATGTGATTTTACAAGTATTCTTGTCCTAAGTAAGCACAATTAATTAATTTATTTATATTTGTTGAATGTTTTTCCATAGGGAAGTTTGTGCACCACATGAGTGAGTACCTACTGCTCACAGAGGGAACCAGAGTTTGAGATGTCTTGGAACTGGAGTTACAAACAGTGTCAACCATTGGGTAGGTGCTGGGTATCAACTCTGGATCCTCTGGAAGACATTCAGAAATATAAAAGAATGAACCCTATCTTCAGACCCCAGTTTGTTTGTTTTTATTTTTAAACTTACTTTGAGATGTTTTTAGGAATAGTTGCATCATATCTGCAGGTAATTTTGGCTCTATCAGTTGGGCTGAGGCTTCTTGAATGTCCTAAAAATGTAAAAATGATCACAGGATGAGGGGCTATGTATTCCCTCTCATATCCCCTTCAATGCCCTGTCTTCTGTCTTATTTTGGGACAAGCAGACATCCCCATGCACAAATATAAATATAGACAAGTTGTTTATCTCAGGATACAAAAGTCAACCCAAAACAAACAAAGGATCTACACAGGACTAGAGACATCTCCGAGGTTAAGAGTGCCTTTGGCTATTGCAGATGACCTGACTTCAGTTTCCAGCACCCATATGGTGGCCGACAGATGCCTATAACTCCAGAGCCAGGGGAACTGACAGTCTTTTCTAGTCTCTGTGGACATCGGCACTCAAATGCGCATATCGTACACACAGACATACAGGCAGACACTCAGTACATAGTGAAAAGAAATCTAAAAGATAATTGATCAAGAATACAACCTAGAGCCTGGAGAGATGGCTCAGTGGTCAAGAGCTCTTCCAAAGATCCTGAGTTCAATTCCCGGCAACCACATGGTGGCTCACAACCATCTGTAAAGAGGTCTGGTGCCCTCTTCTGGCCTGCAGACATGCACACAGAATATTGTATACATAATAAATAAATAAATATTTTTTTGAAAAGAATACAACCTAAACATGAATCGTGTAGGAGAAAACGAATGAATTACAGACTAACTTCTTAGATATAACAAACCTCCTTTCATTAAATGAACAACTGGATTGTTAAGAACTCCATAAAGTGAGAAAATGTCCACTCTTCCAAATATATGTTAGTAACATATTTTTCCTGCCTGGGAAAATGAATGTGGGAACTTGTGTATCAGGTGACAGTCTTACTGTTTCCAGATTTCCCAAACCTCAAAAAGAGCCAGTAAGAAAATAGACATTTCAGAAAATAAAAGTTGGCCAGAAGGGTGAGTAGATGCTCCACTAAGAGAAACATACAGCCGCAACATGCTTAACACTTAGGGAAGAGAGACAGGTGACTCTGAGGGGACTCTTGACACACCCATAAAATACTCAGAAATAAAGACTTGTCATACAAAGACCTGGCAGGTTGTGGAGGATGAAACTCTCATACCCACTGCTGGTGGCCATGGAAAACAGGACAGAGACTTGGAAAAGTATTTCCCAATTTCTTGATATGTTAATTGTCATCTGACCATCACATTCCCAAATATATAACCTGGAGGAAGAGGACATATTTTCTTTTAATGACTTATTTATTTCAGTTCACACCAGCTTTATATAAAAGACACTGAAATTGAAAACAACCTAAACAACAGGCTACAGGTAAATGACTCATTTCCCAAGACTGTCATGGCAGCTCCCAACTGTAACTCCAGTGCCAAGGGATCCAATACCCTCTCTTTGCATCCATGGGCACCAGGCATGCATGTGCTCTTCATACCTATATGTAGGCAAACATATATACATATAAAATAAAAATAAATTATAAAATTTTCTGTGTAGCTATACATTGCTACACCATTTAATATTAAGAATGAACAATTATCATAGGCAACAAAATAGATAAATTTAAACATATATTCAAGATGAATGAAGGCCAGATGTCTCTAAACTCTGGTTCTATTCTAATACATTCCAGCATATATATTAATTTGTCTATAATATCAGATTGTTTTTTTTTTTGAGACAGGGTTTCTCTGTGGTTTTGGAGCCTGTCCTGGAACCAGCTCTGTAGACCAGGCTGGTCTCGAACTCACAGAGATCCGCCTGCCTCTGCCTCCCGAGTGCTGGTATAATATCAGATTGTTGTAATTTCCTGCAGACAGGGTAGGGCAGTGGTTGGGAGTGAAAACCTAACTAACATAGAAATGAAACTTTATGGATTGGTAAATAATAATGAAACTTTTACCTACCTGAGTATAAGAAGATGTCTATTGTCATTATGGGGAAAAGTAGAAAAATAGTAATTACGTTTAATATTTGATGACTTGGACTGCAGAGATGGCCCCATGGTTAAGAGGACTTGCTGCTCTTACAGAAGACCCGGACTGGGTTCTCAGCACTCACTTGCTGGCCCACAATGGACTGCATATCTGTTTCTAGGGGAGCAACACCCGTTTCTGTCCAAAGCAGCACACCCTAATCCTGAAACCAGAGCAAAAGAAACATACACTGACCCTGAGACTAGAATCAGTTCACTGGCCCTGAAACCAGAGTCCAACGTTTAAAAAAGGCCAGTGAAATAAACACATTTGCCCCTGAAACCAAAGCTACAGAAACACACTCTTCCACTTACCAATTCGGCAAAACAAACTAACCAATATCTCAGCATTAAACCAACCAATCCCTGAGCAGGAAAACCAGCAGATCATTGAGCATGAAACCACCCTGTACCTGTTCAGTTGGGAGCTGCCTTTCCCACTTTTGCAGGGTCAGCCACCTCCTGGACTCTTCCCTCCCAGTGAATCTCTTGAATGAGGCTTGGGTGAGACCTTCTTTGCCTAAGAAGAACAGAGAAGCAATGACTTCAACTGGAGACGAGTGGAGGAGAGGGGAGCAGAACTGGAAAAGCTTCTCCTAGCAGAGTAGAGTTGTTACTCTTCTGAGGATCTGAGCAGAGCTGTAACAACTTGGCTAGGGAAACCCTCCCCTACCAGAGCAGAGCTGTTAATTTGGGAAAAGCTTTCCCTGAAGCAGGGCTGTGAGCTTCTAAGTTTAAGGTGAATTTGTGGTATTCCTTGGCTCCTGACTGCCAGGATCCCTTTCCATCTGAGCAGCAATGCTTACAATATACACACAATTTTTAAAACATTGCAGTCATTGGGTGCCGGGAAGATATCCCCAGGCTGCCTGACACCATTCTGTTCAGGCAGGTGCCACACACCCACAGGCAAGCCTGCATTGTCAAAGCCTGGGCTAGGGAAGACATTCACAGGTTGACCCGCTACTTCCAGGAAGCCATTATGGTGAGCAAAATGTGTGGTGGAGAAATGGGAGAGAAAGAGCAACAGAACTAGCTATGATAAACGGTGCAATGAAGGATGTGAAGGCAGTGAGGAACAGACTGAGGAACAACCTAAATACCTTCAAGCTCAGGAACATGGATTCAAAACAAACTTCTTACCCAGACCCAGAAAAACAAATGTAATATGTACTCTCTCATGAGTGACTTTTGGATAAAAAGCAAAGAAAAACCAGCCTACTTTCCACAACCCCAGACAACCTAGACAAGAAAGAGAGACATTGCTGGTCTACATAGGAAGGAGAAAAAGACAAGAATTCCTGAGAAAACTGGCCATGGGGGGGGGGGGGTCAAAGGAGAGGAGGAAGGGGAGAGTATAGGAAGGTAGGAAAGCAGAGCTAAATGTATAGCTCAATAAAAGCAATAAAAACCAAACTTCTTAGATATAACAAACCTCTTTTTATAAGTTGAGAAGCTTGTTGTTAGGACGTCCATCAAGTGTCAGCTGTATGCTCTTCCACGTAATGGTTGATAAATGAAGACAATGCCCTGATGGGGAATACAAGTTTGAAAACCATGCACCAGATTAAGGAATCCTTGTATCTAGGATACAGAACATCTCACAGACATCATTAAGGTAAGTGCTACCTATGGCTTTTCATGTAATAGAATAGAGATGATTCTAAGTGACCAAGAGTATTGATTTCATAATAAATGTAAATGTATATGAATACATCAAGCAAAGAAAAATACTCTTCAGGTTACCTGTTAAGATAAAATCTTAACACCAAAACATGGACGCCTGGTAGTCCAATGACCCGCGGACAAAAGGGGGGTCTTGGGGGGCAGGGCGGGGACAAGTAGAACACAGGACACCATGCCAACAAGCTGAAGGTGCACGTGCTCCCTTTCGGGGGTCCTTGAGGCCTGCCCGGTTGGCAGACACTCACCTCTCTGGGTGGGTAGCCTTAATGTAGGAGCAGAAAACTGTTCCTGAGCAAAGAACCTTTCAGAAAACGCAGGCTTTGGGGGGAGGCCGTGTGTAAGAAAGACAGCCCTGCAGAAGGAGCTGGGGGAGGGGGGTTTGTGCTCTTTTCCTGGACAATCTGCCCCTGGATAGCACACACTCACCCGTCCAGATGGAACTCCTCAGCACATAAACAGGGTCGCCTGGTAGCCCAATGATCCTAGACCAGGATGGAGGGGGGAGGACTTTGGACTTTCCACAGGGCAGGGAACACTGACTGCTCTTCAGACTGGAGAGGGAGGGGGAGAGGAGTGGGTGGAGGGGGAGAGGAGTGGGAGGAGGTAGAGGGAAATGGGAGGCAGGGAGGAGGCGGAAATTTTTTTCAATAAAAAATAAAAAATAAAATAAAATAAAACATAATTGACAGAAAAAAAGATAAAATCTTAAAATACTGACTTTTAAGCACATATCCCTTAAATGTTACACTGAACACTTAGAAATGAACAAAAAATAATAGCCAATTACAAATAAAAGGTAACCTGAGATAAAAATTCTGATATTTGAGAAATGCTTAAAAGAATATGCAATTAAGAGATATTTTTGAAACCCACAATAATTCTATGGGCTCAACTTTAGTGGCAAAATGTTACTTTTTCAAGAAATATACCAATAATGTGGCATTTTTTTGAGGAATGTGATGGCTAATCTTGGTTGTCACTAAGACTACATCTGAAATCAACTAAAACTCAAGTATCTGGACTCTCCTGTGAGAGATTTTCTTGATTGGATCATGTGAGGTGAGAATATTCACCCTAATCATCATCTCTGTTGGAAGTCCACATCAAAGGACGTGGAAGAGGAAAGCTTTTATTTTTGCTTGCTCTCATTCTTATCAGCAATGTCATCTACCCTGCTTCTGAGGCATCCCTTTGTTGGAGTTAGAACCTACATTTTTGGGACTCCAATAGTGACTGAAGAAAAGTAGCAGGTCCCTAAGAATCCTCTAGATCTCCAGTGCCAAACTGGGACTGCTGAGACATCCAGTCTTGTTGACTGAACAACTACCATTTATGGCTTTTCTGCCAGACAGAGCCATTGTTGGTTTTGGGAGGCACATTCTACCAATTATATTCCTTTAGATCAGTGGTTCTCAACCTTTGAGTTTGACCCCTTTCACAGGGATCAGATAAGACTATAAATAAACACAGATATTTACATTGTGGTCCATAAAAATAGCAAAATTACAGTTATGAGTAGCAATTAAATAATTTTGTAGTCGTAGGTCATCACAATATGACAAACCGGATTAAAGGATCACAACATTGGGAAGACTGAGAACCACTGCTTTAGTGAGATCTGAGTAATGCAATGGATAAGGAAAAGCTCAGGAACAATAGTAGATTGGAACACACTGTTTTCGATGCAACAATAATCATATGGGAAATAATACATTGAAAAGATTTATGAAAGCTAATTTTCCTGTAGCTCTATGGACTTCTGAAACTTGATAGAAGACAACCTACCCACTCTCCAGACGAATATGGAACATTCGCCAACACTAACTCCACATGAGACTGTTAAATTTGTACACAAATGCATGTATGGATTAAAATGTTGCAATTTGCAGGTAGTTCAATTGGTAAAAGAAAGGCACATATACTTATGCCTGCCTGCTGAGTTCAATTCCCAAGACCCATGAGGTGGAAGGAGAGAACCAATCATCACAAACTGGTTTTGGGAGGCACATATGTATCTAGGCACTGATGCACTGAAAGGCCTCTTTCACAGCAATAGAAACCACGGCTTAGCAGAAAAGACAAAAATATTCCAAGAATGGTGACCTCTATGCATCCATTAATGTAGGAGAAGACCCAAGTTTTCCAGAAGGTCTGTAAAACAATGCAGACTAAGTAAGGATAAAAGACCCAAGTTTTCTCTCAGATATCGAATCTAGAGTTGAATTCGTTTGTGAGTGTGGCTGTGTGTGGTCATGCTTGCAGGTCATAAAACTAGAAAACAGACCATGAGGAGACGAACAGGAGCTTAAAAGAGGAAGGAAAAGAGAGGGCAGTGAAATATGTGGGCCATGAAAACAGAAGATGCAACAACTTGTAGATGAAAGCACAAAGGAAAAAATCTATTTCTAAAACAATGTTGAGTAAACCAGGAAGCATATGAACCCAAGATACATGAAATGATTGATATAGTCAAACTTCAGAAAAGAAAAAAGAAAAAACCTTGAGATCATGTTGAAGGAATTCTGTTTCTGGTAGACAAAAAGAGAGCCACGTAATTATAATGAGGCATGCAGTCCAAGGGATAAAGCACACTATTTATTATAGTGCTGAATAAAAGCAATTATCAAACCTGAATCTCTATGTCTACATAAATTATTCTGCTGGATTATCTTGGGGATAAAAAACCATCATCAAAAGTAAACGTAATTGTTTATCAATATGAGACATGCTGCTAAAAAGGGCTAAAGGAAATTTCTAAAACAAACAAATCTTAGAGGAATCAGAAATATCTGGAAGAAAGAAGAAGAATATCAATGCAGAATATGATTAAAATATATACGTTTCCTTTTCCTTTTAATATCTCTCAGTTCTGTGTGATGTTTGAAGCAAAAAGTATAAGTGATGTGATGTGGTCCTCTATAGACACAGAGTAAATGTATTGTAGATTCTGTTCTTACAATGGTGATTGTGAAGGAACTATAATTGCAGTAACATCAAATAGGGTTAGACTTGAAGGCAATCACGATATCTGAGTAGCACTAACACCGACCAGAGAGATCTGGGATAGCTGATGTAACATACTCACTTCACAGTGCCTTGATCCTTCCATCCAACTGAGATGACAAGGCATTTAGGCACATGGGATCACATTTCACCTCAAAGAGCTGCTAATGAACAGAACATGAGGTATTGTTATCATATTGAATGGTTAAGGATGGGTAAGGGAACTAACTCACCCTTAATGTCCCAACGTTCTGCTCAGTCTGGCAGACATCACAGCACACTGGGTTCTTCCTTAAAACTCCTGCTTCTGGGTTGCAAAGATTAAACCCTTTACTTTACACTAGAAGGTAGCAGAAGGGAAAAGAAAACTCATGAAGTAGAGGAAACCAGGATGAGGAAGCACATAAATCCCAGGGGATGGAATGATGGTGCCTTGTCTGTGCAGACGACATCAATGGAAGGTACACAATGATGTTTTTCCTCCTCCCAGGTCATCTCACCACCCTGGGCATATACAGTGATAACTGTGACTGCAGACACATACTGGGAATGTGAGCTTGTGCATTTCCCATTCCCGTGGCAAGAACTCCCCCTCTCTGTGTGCACTCAGGCCCCTACTTTCATGCCACAGCCTTCCATGGGCAGCACAAAGGGGGCAAGGGAAATCCGCCAACCACATAAATACACAGGTTTTGTTTTCTCTCCATTCAGGCCCTGAAAATTATTCTTTGAGGTGGGCATCATTACTTCCTTTCCACACAGGGGCTCAGAGAGCGCAATGCTTAGACCCAGGAAATTCTCCAGAGGCACCAGATGAACACTGATGCCAACTTAAATGGATTCCTCTGGCCAATATTGGGACAAATGGAGCATGGAAATAGAGAACGGCAATAGAGAGGAGAACAGTTTGGGAAAATGGGTGTTGAGCCATACTGATATAGGTCAGCACATGAGTAAAGAAATATGGAGATAAGTAAGCAGTATACTACACACCAGGTCATCATTGAAGAGGACCAGGAGAATTATAACACATAACCTATCACAGCAGTAAGTGATTAACTAACTTTCACAATATATATCCAGGGACATATCTGCACAAGCATGAGCATATACACAACACACACTAACAAATGTCAATGTAAACACACAGCTCTCACCTCAAAGGAAGAGGAGAGTTCATTCTGGAGTCAAATATCTGTGAGTAAACATGAGTGAGACAGGTTTATGTTAGTACAAATTACATGTTACAATGTGGAAACAGTTTCATGAAGTTTTTATAATAATAGAATGAAGAAACTATAGACTCTCTTTAAGTACATGGGTGATAATATTAAGTAGACTATTATGGAAAAGCAGAGAAACCACAGCTACAGGCACTAGCTGCTATGTGATGACACGCAGTCGTTTGACTGGTAGAAACTTAAAGCTTTGATAAGGAGACATATTCTGATATTTTAAATGTCAGGTCCAACGTCATCACTTAGTAACAAGGTGTTAGGTAAGTCCAACACAGGGGGCCCAAGGAGTGGCTACTCATGGGCTCAAGAGAACACAAAGGAAATTGTAATTAGGCCCTGGGACTGCGACTTCCACCATCTCCATATCACTGCAGGTCTAAGAGTCAATCAACCAGGCTTTGCAGACCAGCCTCTGCCAAGGAATTCCTGTACACACACACACACACACACACACACACACACACACACACACACACACACGACACCTCATTCTCACTCTCCTAGCTCCCTGGTGTTTACTGAGAGCTCAAGGGGTACAACCACATTACAACAGATTCATCTCTGACCACACACAGGATGGTGAGAGCTACTAAATTATGTGGTCTGAATGAGATTCCTGTGACGATGGCCATGGACTTGTCTCTGGGACATTTCTCTCATTTGTTTCAGACTGTCAATAATAACCTGTAAATGCCGATACGAAAATAGGGACATGCTGCATTACACATCAAATATAGTTTGCATCATGAAATAATCCATGCTTGCAACAAAAAAATATCCTTTGTAAGTTTCATTGACACTTGTTTCCTGACAGTTTACAGAAGATTTAATAATTTGTTCACAGAAAAAACAATACGTATCAATTTGTTTAAAAAATAATAGCAGTTATAGATGAATCAAAAAGTACAAATATTTGTGCATTATCCCGACAGATAGATCCATAGTGCTGGTAGGCCGAGAGATTTCCAAACATTGCTGAATTGGAGACAACCTGTCTTAATAAAGGACAACTATGTTCACGGCTCAAACAATTCATTATTAGTAAGATGTCTGTTGATTCAAAACTGAGCTACAGATTCGATGCACTAACAATAAAATAGCACTTATTCTTTTTAAAAATTGAGTGGATAACTCTAAACATTGTAGACTAAATATATAGCTTGTGTAAACCTTAGAAACAGACAAATGTTAGAGAACAGCATTGCCTGATAGGAGACCTCTGTGTGAACCTACAGTAATTGGACCAGCATGCTATTGAATCAAAGTTGGCAAGAAAAAGTCCAAAACCAACATTCCACGCTCACATCCACACATTTACAGACCACTGCCTATATCGAGTCAACATTTTTCCTGTGTCTGATGCTGGCATCAAGCTTGTGTGTAGTGCGTGTAGTGTGTGCTGAGAAGAACTGACCATACTCCTGCTGCAGCCTCCCAGGCACTGGGATTACTGGCATATGTACCATGATTGGATAATTGGAGAACTGATGTTTCACAAATAAACAAGGCAATTTGATGCAGAAAGATGGCCTTTCAGGAAGCAATACTGAGGTAAGTGTATATCCAAACCCACAAATATAAACTAGGACCTACATCGTATCATATGTGAAGACCATTCAAAATAAATTACAGATGTAAAAATATAAAAATCAGCCTATAAATGTCCAACAGAAAACAAGAAGAAAATCCCTGTCACTGGGTTCCAGGAAAAGATTTCGCAGACAAGACACCGAATAAAAACCGTAATTGAAGAACTAGAGAAGGTGGGATCTTACAATTGAAAATCTCCTGCTCTTCCAAAGACATGGATGAGAATTGAGATGATAAGTCTGAGGCTAGGAGAAAAGTTAGAAATACATATATCTGATAAAGCATTTCTATGAAACATACGGAAAACCTCATATGTCAGTCAGAAAGTAGTCATTGAGACCCGTGAAATATTTCAGGTGTGCTTTTCTTTTTTTTTTTTTTTTTTTTTTTTATTTTTTTTAAATTTATTTATTTATTAAGGATTTCTGCCTCGTCCCCACAACCTCTTCCCATTTCCCTCCCCCTCCCCCGATCAATTCCCCCTCCCTCATCTGCTCGAAGAGCAATCAGGGTTCCCTGACCTGTGGGAAGCCCAAGGACTGCCCACCTCTATCCAGGTCTCGTAAGGTGAGCATCCAAACTGCCTAGGCTCCCACAAAGCCAGTACGTGCAGTAGGATCAAAAACCCACTGCAATTGTTCTTGAATTCTCAGTATTCCTCATTGTCCGCTATGTTCAGCTAGTCCGGATTTATCCCATGTTTTTTCAGACCTAGGCCAGCTGGCCTTGGTGAGATCCAGGTGTGCTTTTCAAGGGGGTGTTGATAGGATTGCCCCCTTTATAGAGATTCATTAGAGATATTAAGGCCATAAGCAGTGTCTTAGGGATTCTGAGGAGAGATCAGGGCCACCTGGCAGGGCGGGCCCAAGGAAATGGAAATTAAAATGCCAGACCGGTGCCAAGCACAAAGTGTCCCACACCTGCAACCCCTTCACGAGGCAGCCAAGGCAGGAGAATCACTGAGAGTTCTGAGCCAGGGTAGGACACAGTGAAATGCTGTCTCAAATCCAAACAAAACCGCAGATTACTAAAAAGAAAATCCTCTAACCAAGTGAGTCTTTTACCACTCATCTGAGACATGTAGGGTAATTATTGACTAGCATTTAGGCTTTCCCTCTTAAATCTCACCGGTCCTATGGGCTAGCAATCTCATGGCCTTTTCACAGAGAGGGACATGTACAGACAGGTCTGGGGAAGAAGGGGGTAGTGGAGAGGAAGGTGCTCGCTGGTCATCCAGTGGTAAATAAAGCTGGGAATAAATAGCTGAATATTAACTCATTCAAATAATATTAAAACTGTTCAAAGAGAAAACAATTGCTTTCTTTTCTGTTTGCCCAGAGATCTGACTGACTGCAACTTGGAAAGACAGCCCTGCTATCTCACTTATCTCTTACATCTCACCGATCCATGGGCGAACAATCTCAAGCACAGAGTAGGAAGTCGGGATCACAGAGTGCTCATTTGGCCTCATCTCCCTCCTGTTCACTCTCCCACAATTCCCCTCCTGGACAATGGCTCCAGCACAGCCCTGTACAGAACAGCACAGGAGGAGGCAGAATGGTCGCAAGTCTCTCTCCTTCCGGAGAAACACAGGTTGCAAACCCCGAGGTAGGAGTGGTCCTACTTGTGTCTGGAATCCCTGCATCTGCCTCCAAACCCTCAGAAAGATTCTGGTGCTCACCTCCGGGAATCCATAAGCTCAACTCAGTCCAAACACCAGGAACTGAATGCTCCTTTCCAGGACATCGTCCGGTCGCCATTTGAAAAGAGTCGCCATAATGACCCCGGTTTCTATGACAACCGTAATGCTGCCTCCCCCTTAGTAACCAGGAATGGCTCCGCCCAGCCCTCCCTTACTTCCTCTCAAAGGAAGAACTCTTCACCCTTGTTTTCACCCAAGAAAGCATACCCATTAGAGAAACTGTCCCCACTACGAATGCAGAGCTTTTCTTTTTTTTCCGCTCTGTGAACAAAGCATATCCCTAAAAGCCCGACCACATTGTACTCACCAGACCATGGTGGTATCTATGGAAATGTCGTCACAAAGATGAACATTGCTGTCACGGTGACAAACGAGCAATTTCATTCCAATAATTAGCTATGCATATATGACCTCATCACGGGAATTTAAAGTCTGGGACACCTTGTACAGAAACATCCTGAAAAAGAACAGTCAAAGGTTAAAAGAACTGCTTTGGAGATGCCGGGGATCGAACCCGGGGCCTCACATATGCAAAACATGTGCTCTACCTCTGAGCTACATCCCCACACCTGGTAACAGCTTCATCAAAGCCCTTGTGAAGTTAGAGGAACCGAGCCAACGTTCAGAGTCTCTGCAAGGGTCTGCATCAGGTCCTTTGAGCATACTGGATTCCAGGTTGAGTTTAGTGCTTTGATAGGATTCTTGGGACTTTTGTTGCATGAGAAAACAATCTATTTTCAGTCAAAGGAAAAATAATAACAATAAAAATAATAACAACAACAAAAATAACAACAAACCTTATGCTCTTTAAAGCAAAGTAACCTAACAATGAATGATACTTTGAAGTACTCAGTCCCATCAATTTTACTTCAACTTTACCTTGCAGGTGGTTCAACATGCCAGTATCATGCGGAATTAATAATTATATGTTGCTGATATGCGGTCATATCTGAGAGTATGAGTAGCTTCCTGAAACCCTCTCTAGCATACCTTCTTCCTCTTTTAAAGCACTAATTAGTTTCAGGGCTTGAAAGGCAGTTTTTATAATCTTGGTCAGGCTGCTCATTTTGTTTCTTAACGTTGCCAATACTGTCCATCACTCCATTTATGGCAATAACTAAATGTGCGGTAGCTATTGGTTCATAAAACCCTAAGGTACTGTCACTTTCTGCACGTTTATGTATCTCACCGCACGCTTTGTAAGTTTCAAAAATGAGAGGTTTTCTGAAATATGTCCTCCTTTTCACACATCATCTAGTATATGTCTCAATATACAAAATCATTAAATAAATATTGTATGTATGTTCAGATGAGTGAGAAAAGTGAGTATTTTTTAGAAAGAAAGCAATCTATCTTTTTTTTTCATTTACATGCTTATCCAAGTTTCTATTCCCTCTCCTCAGCCCATTCCCTCCACTTACCCCCCCTCCCAGCCCACCTTCATCCACTCCTCAGAGAGGGTAAGGCACATTGCCCAGAGGAAGAAGCAAGGCCTCCCCCACTATATCCAGGCTGAGCAAGGTATCCATCCAAAGACAATGGTTTCCAAAAAGTCAGCACCAGCAGCAGGGATAAATCCTGGTGTCACAACCAGTGGCCCTGCAGTCTGCCCCAGCCATAAACTGTCACCCACATTCAGAAGGTCCAGCTTGGTCCTATGCTGGTTCCTTCCTTGTCTGGCCAGAGTTGGTGAGCTCACAACTATTTCAGTGGGTGTCTTCATCATGGTCTTGACCTCTGCTCATATTCTCACTCCTCCCAGGTTTCAACTGGAAAAAATTAATAAAGAGTACCTGAGAAGATGCCAGACTATAGAAGACTGAGTCCACATAAGACATTGCTTAACCTCAACAATTATTGGAATACTACAAAGAATGATATTAAAACAGGCCTTTAATATATAACTTCTAGATAAAGACAAGGAGTAATGGCAAACAGGTGAGCGAGTGTGGTAGACCGAGAGCTACCTAAATTAAGTGAAGACAAAAGCAAAAAGAGAGGGATGGAGGGATGGAAACAAAAGGTAAATGAGGGCAACGGAAGAAGCAATAACATCTCAGTACTGACTGTGGTCTAGGTTTGAGATGTTGGTGGATAAGTACTGATACCCAAATGACCTAGAAGTAATAAAATATGAGTCAGTGTATCTCTGTGAGCCATGACCCTTTTGTGTTATCTTTCTTTCTGGGAATCATCCTTTCAATTTCATTCATAATAGATTTTCCCCGTAATCTATCCTGATTATAATTTTCCTTCCCTCTACTCCTCCCAGTTCTGCTCTACCTTCCCTTCTTTCAGGATCCATTCTGTTTCTATCTCTCAGTAGATAATAATATGCTTCTAAGAGATAACAGCAAAGTGCAACAAAATAAATTAGAATAAGACTTTAAATCACAATTATCAAATTGAAATTGGATGAGACAAATGAACAGGAGTAAAAGAGCCCACAAGAAGACCCAAGAATCAGAGACGCACTTCTTCACACACTCAACAGCCCCACAAAAATACAAATAAAAGTTCTCCTAAAATACTGAAAGAGATAATATACACATTGAAGACCTGGTGCAGACCCATGCCTGCCTCATGCTTGCTGCTTTGGTCTCTTTGAGTTTCTGTGAGTTGATTTAGATGGATTTGTACTCCATATGGTAATCAATCTACCTTAAATTCCAAATAAAGCACACTCGTTATATACTCCAAGGACACTTTACCCTACCACAAGGACACTTCTATGTGATAGTTGCATTTTATCTTATTCTAATTAATTTTGTTATTTTTTATCTCTTAGGAACTTATTGTTTTCTAATAAGAATCAGAAAGGAGGTGGATCTGGATGTTATGGGAGGAGGGGAGAAACTGGGGAGGTTAAAGGGAGAGGAAACTCTAATCAGAATATATTTAAAGAAAAATGTGTCTTTTAAACACAGGGCGAAAATAAGAAAAGTATCAGGATAACTATCATGATTTCATGCTTCTAACATAACCTTGCTGTACAACTGTCCCTGCACACAGGAAAGGCCTCCCTTCTCTCCTCGCTTTCACTCAAAGCAAAAGTCCTTCCTTAGAAGGCTACCAACTGAGAAGCAGAACTAAGATGACCTAGGTGGGGACTCAGACAATTGGCAGAACTCACTTTTGGAAATAAACTATCTCCTCTCAGGAATTTTTGCATTATAGCAGTGAGTGTAGGATCTACCGTGAAGACATAGCTAGGGATAAACAGTAGGACTGTGGAATATAAGGTAAGTCTTTTCAGAGGAATGTCTAAGATAGGCCATCCACCTATGACAGAAAACTGCAAGATTTTTCTCCAAAACATTGACTAAGCAGTCAAGCAACATTTGAAAACCGAACAACAACAAAAACAAACAAACAAAAAATGCCCAAAAGTTGTATAGCTGGGTCTTGAGGTAGACTGATTCCCAATCTGAGAAACCACCATACTGATTTCCAAAGTGGCTGTATAGGTTTTCACTCCCACCAGCAGTGGAGGAGTGTTCCCCTAACTCCATATCCTCTTCAACATAAGCTGTCCTCATAATTTTATCTTAGTCATTCTGACAGGTGTAAGATGGTATCCTAGAGTCATTTTAATTTATGTTTCCTTGTTGATTAAGGATGTTCAGCAATTCCTTAAATTTCTTTTGGCAATTTGAGATTGTCCTGTTGAGAATTATCTGTTTAGCTCTATACCCCATTTTTAAATTGGGGTATTTTGAGCCTCGTTTCTTCAGTTCTTTATATATTTTGGGGATCAGTCCTCTGTCAGATGTGGGATTGGTAAAGACCTTTTTCCATTCTGAAGGATGTCATTTAGTCTTATTGACTATGTCCTTTGCCTTACAGAAGCTTTTCAGTTTCAGGAGGTCTCTTTTATTGGTTGTTGTTCTCAGTGTCTGTGCTACTCCTGTTATATTTATGAAGCGGTCTCCTGTGCCAATGTGTTCAAGGATACTTCCCACCTTCTCCTCTATCAGGTTCAGAGCAACTGGATTTATGTTGAGGTCATTGATACATTGGGACTTGAGTTTTGTGTATGGCTGAAGATTTAGATCTATTTGTAATCTTTTACATGTTGACACCATTTATCCAGCACCATTTGTTAAAGATACTTCCATTTTCCATTGTATATTTTGACTTCCTTGTCAAAAATCAGGTGTTCACAGGTGTGTGAATTAATGTCAGCATCTTTATTTGATTCCATTGGTCCATGTGTCTGATTTTATGCCTACCAAATTGTCTTTTATTACTTTAGCTCTATGGTGAAGTTTTATGTCAGGGATGGTGATGCCTCTGGAAGTTCTTTTATTGTACAGGATTGTTTTAATTATTCTGAGGATTTTTTGTTTTTCCATATGAAGTTGAATATTTTTCTATAAGTCTGTGAGCAATTGTGTTTGGATTTTGATGGGTATTTCTTTGAATCTCTAGAATGTTTTTGGTAAGATTGCCATTTATATTATGTTGGTCCTACCTATGCAAGAGCATCCATGAGCGTGGGAGATCTTTCCATTTTCTGATATCTTCTTCAGTTTCTTTCTTTAATGTTGTAGGGCACCACTCTGTAATATGGAGTGAGCGGTGGGCTGCCTCCCCAGCACCCGGCTGCCCACATGGCTAGATTTACACCCCAAATAATTACACGGAAATTGTATTCTTTTAAATACTGCTTGGCCCATTAGCTCTAGGCTCTTATTGGCTAACTCTCACATCTAGATTAATCCATTTCTAATAATCTGTGTACCACCACAAGGTGGTACCTTACCGGTAAGATCTTAACCTGCATCCATGTTGGAGAGCACAGCTATGGCAACTGCCTGACTTGGCTTCTTTCTCCCAGCATTCTGTTCTGTTACTCCGCCTACCTAATTTCCTGTCCTATTAAAGGGCCAGGGCAGTTTCTTTCTTTAACCAATGAAATCAAGACAAAACAGAAGACTCTCCCACATCACTTTAGAGACTTAAAGTTCTTCTCATACAGGTGTTTCAATTGTTTAGTTATAGTTAC